TTTACAAGTTTGGTGAGCACTCAAACTTAAACAAGAATTTGGAGAATTTAGAACCTGATTATACACAGGTTATTGTTCCTTTATACACACATTTTAATATAGTATGGGAGAACTGATCAACAATTGTATATAATATAATTAAAAAATTAAGAGAAGTTCATATATGCTGTTTTACATCCCTGTGACGTTAAGTAAATAATAAACAATAATTATTGAAATGTGCTAGAAGACAAGTGTAACGACTCAATATAAAATGGAGTTATGACGCTTTCTAAGGATATTGAAATTGAGAAATATTTCAATATAAATCTAAATCTGAATACCACAGTAAAACTGAATATTCCATCACGAACGTGTCCAATTATAGGATATATACAACTATGTTAAAGAATTTTGTAATGCGTCAAATATGAGACAATGAGGTCAGAACTTTGAGGTAAGTGCATAAGTACTTTGGGGCCTGTAAGTGAGTTTAGACTTTCCTTTTACTTCCCATCATCACCAGGCTCCTTAATATAGCAGTGCTAATGGCACCAAGCGTACACAACCAACTCCAAAATAGCATCTAAATTACGCACAGAGAGTAAATGAGGACCTTTAGGACCTTGCCCTAGTCAGCCATCAATTAAGCTATCAACAATGTAGGTTACTTTTGAAAATTGCTGCTGATAACTTTTCAAAGCGTGTGCGACAAGATAAACTATCCTCAATAACTATGAAAATTAATAGGTCAGCTAAGACGAACCTACAAACAATCTATACAGCAGTGCTGCTCTGTGTCCTACAGAAGCGATGCACTGACACATGAGTCAACTTCATTCATCTTTTTTGATCTCAGCCTGCTAAGGATTATTTCCTGCACCCCCCACCCCAACCAAGACATGTGTTTGTGCACGCAAAACAAGGATAAAAGCATGCACCAACACTCATAAATGCATCAGCTGTCATATATCACCCAGTCATAGACTATTTCATCTTTACGCTCAATTATTTGACACCTGTTCCAAAATTTATGGACACGAACCTACAATCTCTGTCTCGGCTCAAACTCAACAATTATAAAATATTTACATATATGAGATTGTCAACTATGTCCAATTTTAAAAAGCACCGAACTGAGTGTCACACACACACACACACACAAAAAAAACTTGATGCGCTCTCTCAATCTGGCTTTGTTTACACGTCTTATGCTGCGGCTACAACTGACATGAGAATGCATGTTAGTAGATATGTAGCAAGCTGTTGACAAAATACCTATTCCATCGGCAACACAAACATCTCGTAAACTCAGATTTGTGACCAGCCTACACTTGACAGCCATATTCTTGATGCCAAAGTGTTTCGCCCTACGAGCCTCTCTCCCAGTAACATTACTGCAACTAGGCCTCTTTTGATTATAGACATGTTCCTATGTGACATGTTGGACACCCACCTGATGTAAAAAGCACGATGGCCTTGAGGCAGCTGTACTCTGCCGAGTCTACGTGCAGGGTCTTAAGCTTCTCCACTTGCTCCTGGAAGATCCGGATGTGATCCATGAAAGCCACGACGCGGTCCGCGGACATCGGGGAGGCGTGGAGGCCCGCCGCGGCGAGCAGAGGGGCCACATGCAGTGGCATGGAGCACTGGGCTGCGTTAAGCACAAACAACTCGCTCCAAGTCAGCCTGAGAAGGGACACCTGGTCGGTGATCTGCAGGTCGGGAAAGAAAGGGATGTTTCTCGCCCACTCCACGGCGCTGAAGAGCAAGCGAGCCGCCAGCTCGCAGATGTTCTCGATGCCCATGATATTGTTGGGCTGCATGCACTGGCTCCCGTACCGGGACGTCGGGTAGGGCTCGGCCCGCAGCAATAACGAGATGTATCCGGACAGATAGCAATGGCCATTCAGAGGGTCCCCATTCGTCAGCGCGTACTGGCCTGGGTTGGGCTGGGTTGGAGGCATTCGTCCTCGCTGAACCGCTGACAAAAAGAAAGAGAAAAAGAGGAAATGTGCATCCAGGACTGATAAACATTGTTCATGAGCATTACCACCGTCAAGCAAGCTACAGCTAGCCTGTTTCTTCTCAGCAAAACGACATGCACTGAAATCAAAATTCAGTACGCTTTTCAAAACATATTGACTAGTGTATACTGTCTGTAATACTACACTATTCCAGAGATTATTCTATCGACAGCATAAACATCTCATCAAAACAGATGTGCTGTATCCCTCAACCTTCACACTGTTTGCATTTGTATTTAGGGATGAACGCTACATGTACTGTATGCAAAATAAAAATTACTTTTATACAGCAAATACACATATTTTCTGTTATCTAAAAGTACATTTAACACATATACTATTGTGAGTATTTCAAAGCGTAATTGAATAATGCATGCAGTAGCCTACTTATATTATTTTACCATTATATTTAAGTGGGTTTTTGTTTAGATTAATAATTATTAATTGTGGCCAAATATATTACAAATATGATTGATAATTACTGTTAAATGCAATTACATTTACACATTTTACCCACATCAATAGGTCAGCTGGGAAAAAAAGGATTTCAGCTATTGTTTCAGATTAAAAATAAAATATGAATGTCACTCGGTGTACATTATACATGGGTTTGCAATGTGTACTGCAAATAGCAGATTTAACATGAGGGATGTTTGCATGAATTGGAATAAAACACTTGACATAGAGAGGAAAGTTACACGGCCTGTAGCCTAATGCATCAGGCAAAACAATGAGCCATGAACAACTTCAGCGGCATTATTCAGTGTGTCTGAGCTGTCTAGTCAGCATAAGGAGCTCGAGGGAGACGTGGGTTTGTAGTGTGTTCATTTTACATTCACACAGACAGCTTACGAACCCTACTGTACAATTATAAATTAGCAAGATGCATAGAAGGGACTATTAGCCTTGCACACTGTACACACACACACACACACACACACACACACACACACAGCACACACACGCAGACAGACAGACCAACATACATACAGGCACAGACACACAGTCCTTCTTCTGCTCTAAAACCTGTACGTAAAATAGGCCTGTTGGACCGAATGACTTTGCTTGACAGTACTACAATTTGGACTGCAAGAAAAACAAAATAAAATAGTCAGCTAAACGAGCCGCTTTGTTCAGGCGACCTGCATTCACAAGCATAGCTGCTGTGACTGCACTGGCCTTTTACCCCTCTCTCACTAATCATTCATGCAAACATCCCTGTAAAAAACATGGATGGAGACTGCAGTAAGCCCAGCCATATAGCCTGTAACATTAATGCAACATGGCAGCCCTATTCGTCTGCTACTAGGATGAGTAATCATGAGTGGGTTTTAAAATAAATATTCACCTTCCCGCCGCATTCCCACTTTTAAACACTTCTTCAGCCGGCAGTATTGGCACTGATTTCGGTGGTGCTGGTCAATGGGACAGTTCCTGTTGGCACGACATGAGTATGTTAAGTTCCTCCGTACACTCCTCTTGAAGAAACTTTTGCATCCCTCGCAGGTGAACTGGCCGTAGTGTTTGCCGCTCGATTTGTCTCCGCAAACCACACATTCGATATGCTGACTCTGTCCGGAATTTTGACTCCCCTTGTCCCCAGCGGTCCCCGGTGTGGACGGGGGACCAGGCTGGCTGGGGGTCTGCGGAGTGTGCGGAGCCGCCGACGCCGCCTGCTGCTGCTCCCTCGCCGGCTGCGCTGCTGGGTTGGGGCCGCTCGGAGGTCCTCCGGCCACGTCTTCCTGCGGATCTCGCCAGACGCTAACTACCATTGCCATATCTCGCCCCCTGAAAGTGCTATAAAGCGAAATGATCGCCGGTGTTTATGAAGCGTAGAGGGGAGAAAATGAGATCTCAAAAGACGGGGCAGTGCAAAGTCAAATCGGAGAACGCAATCTCATATGGGGTGAGAAGGGGAGTACAACGCGATCAATACATTCAAAATACAGGAGGCGATTCAATAGGCACCCGATCAGGATATGCAAGTATCGGGAGGCCAGTTCCAAGGTAAATTGCAGTCAGCCATTCAGGAATCCCTAATCTTGTAGGAAAGCCCGAGTCCAGACGTAACAAATTGCAGTTTGATATAAAATAGCCACAAAGGAAAGGCAGGGGCGATTCACATGGACGCAGGAACGAGTAAAAAAACCTTTTGCTGGAAAGACACGCGATCCAAAGTGCTGCGGAGATAAATTCCTTTCTCTTTTCTTCCCCTTGCTCCTTTACACTCCCGTCTTCGCCGTATAGGAGGGGAGGAAAAACTGAAGAGCTGGATTTTTACATCTATATTCTTAAATAAACCTCATCATCTCGCCCAGCAGCGAAAGAAAACCGCGTCGCCGAATGAAGTGCCCATGTATAGTTTCACCTCTCTCCAGCAGGAGGAATGGAGATACGATGAGAAAAGATAAAAAAAAAAAGAAGACCAACACCAACAACTAATAGAATATGCAAGAAGAAGGAGAGACCCAAAAATGAATGCGCTTAAACGAGAGGACCAGCAGAGCAATGTTTCCGAAACGGGGGATCTGCGCGAATGTCTGTATATAGTGAACTTTGACACTACTATTGAAACTGACACGTTTCTATGGAGATCGCTGCGCCTTATATGGTGCTCATGTCAAGGAGCCAAGAGAGGGGCTGCTGGAGACTGATAATCAAAGGCGACTGACTGGCCAGAGCCCTGCATAGAGGAGGAGGAGAGGAGGAGAGGGGGGAGATAGGGAGAGAGAGAAAATGGGAGGCTAAGGTTATAGCCAAGCCCTCTCTTTCTCTCCATTGGTTAGAGTCCCCCTCCGTTCGTTCACTGCAAAAAATGTCCATTCCGACAAGTCATCGGGTCTCGTGTTCAAATCTTAAAATGTTATTTTTTGCTGAAAACACAGTAGAACAACATGCAAGTGCAGTTTGCAGAATTCCACTTGTTTCCAATCACAATCCAAGTCGTTTGTAGGTTTCTTTTTTGAAGTCAATAGCTTGAAATGATGCAGAATATACGGGGAGATTCCTTCAGAAATCAACGGCCGAAGTAATACAATTTACGGTGATGAGTCGATTGACGTTGGAAACAAGTGGAAACATCTCGCCCGACGGAAGACCAAGTCTCCTGTTTTGGTAAATGTTAGATTCCCAGACTCAATGTGAACTGAGTGACGTCTGAGGATGGATATTTTTTGCAGTGTTGCCATCCACGACTGAAGGGGCTGGGGGGCTCTGACAGGCACAATTTACATTGAGCTCGCCCCGCGCTGCTATTTACTTTGAAACCTGATTAGTATGGGCCGTCTATTGTCACCAAAAAGAGGAAGAAACCCTGAATAGAATAGCAGAAAAAGCAGGGTAAAGGCAAGGGGGACAAAGCTTTTACGCACGACAAATAAACCAAAAACATGCGCAGCGGCGAAAGGGGCACTCTGTCACAGAAATTCCCCAAAGTTTCAAAATGGTTTGTCTGGGACCGGTATCTTTATTATAAAATTAAGGGATGCCATTATTGGTTAGCAGTGTATTTATGTTTTCGCACGTTGTTTTGTCTTTGGCGTGCGCATTGCGGTACATCCTCGTCTGTAATCAGCACTGTCTCACTGATTAAAACTTACAATTTAGTTCAAACGAGCTTATGAAGGGAAAAAAATGTCAATAAGAAGAATGGTGCATAAAAATCAGTGTGTTATACAAACCGGATGCCGTGCCTGCGGCCGAAAATCTCTAAAATTAGACGGAGCAATACGCAATATTCAAAAATTACTGAGGTCATATAGTCTCCACAATCACTGAGCTGGTGTCACATTATGTCTTAATAATGACAGTAATTCAAAATCATGTGAAGTTGCTGATAATTTGCATGGGGATTCCGGCTTTTTTGTATCAGGGTTTCTGCAGGCTCACTACCTCTCCAACTCAAAAATGTCTGGATCGCGCTGCCATCTAGCGTACATTGTACAATTACAACATAATATTAATGCATGCACAAGTCATCAGACATGAATTTTTTAAAATGTAAAAGGTGATTTCAGAAATAAAAAAAGCCCCAATTTTTGGTATTGTTTTCGCTCGTCTTTTTTTTGACTTTCTGAAAAGTACAGTCTTTTGAAGTTAAGATTGCAAAACGGAGAAAACTTTCAAAGATCAATTATACATATAGATTATATTACAACAAAATAAAATATAGTCCCAAAAGTACAATAGCATGGTGATTGCATGTGATTTAGATATAGATTTAGAACATATATCCAAAATGATGTGCGTAAATCATCTCGAAAAACATAGTAATACACCCTATAGGAAAAGAATAACGTTTATAATATATCAATACAATTATTGAATAAAAATAAACAAAGTTATTGTATACAGATCTTAAACTACAGAGCGATATAGCAGATATAATGGAGCGTAAATATGCAAGTGCCCCCTTTGGAAACGCATAGGAGGGATGGGTTGTTTTTTAAGTATTCAACAAGAGAGCTCTCTCTCCCGTCCCTGTGTCGGACACTCCACTGAAACTCCCCGGCCATATCTCCAGCTCTTTGAAAAGGTGAAACCAATAAGATTAAATCGGACAAAGAATTTTTTCTGTAAGTGTATCATTAAGATTTAACTCCACAGATTGGAAAGAGGCTCCGCGGGAGAAGAGGAGAGTGAGAGGGACAGCGAATGGGAGCAGGGTAGGGGCTCTAATAGAAAGCTGGGAAACGGCAAGAGAAAAAGGAGAAAGTGGACAGCAGGACATTAAAAGAAGAAGCACCGGCGGCGGCGGTTACTAGCAGAGGAGCGGCTTTCTACCTGGATAAAACCAGCCATCAATAAGGCAAGTACAATATTTATTTCTCACTTCTACGCTACACACGCGTGGCTGTAAATGCAAGCCTAAATTCTCTGTGGCACGCCACATGACCGTTAACTTTAAACCATGTAGCCGACCCGGACGGTGTAAGAGTCACAACTTTTTAACTAGGGGAGAGTCGCGTCTTTTCTCCACATTATTACCGATCACCGACAGTCGTTTGCCCGTTTTTGAGCTGTCCTCACTGATTTGTACATCAGATAGTAATGTTATTACAGGCTGGTTGTAGTGCCGCTGGACGTGGGAGCTTTTTTTCGTACGTCCCGTGCACCTCACCTGCTAGGCTATTTGTTGTTTGAACACATAATGAAAAGATCGATAGGAGGCTGTTTGTCTCAGCGATAGTGTCACCGAATAAAAGGCTGATCAAGGAGGCAAGCCGTTGCCCATCTTTTACACTGCTTTCCAAGTGCCAGTTTAGCCACTATACTGTCAGATGCAAATGTTATAGATTGGCAGAAAATCTCCTGCACCAGAAAGAACGCATTGTGTGTCAGCACAGGCTGCAGTGAGGAAATGTAAGATGACAAACACTGTGATTTATCAAAGCAGCATTATTGATGCAAAGGGATTGTAATGGAAACTGATATAAAATGAATGATGTAGCAATGTAGGCCAGGTTAACTTATTCCAGGACAAACTGCACGTCAATCAGCTTTGTAAAATAGCCTTATATAATAACATTTAACCTAATCCTCCTGCTGAAGGTTCATGCTAATTAATTTTACGTGAGCCAAGTAACATTTATCTCTCATGTCCAATTTATTAAGTATACTACCTTTCCTTATGTGAACAAAATATGCAAGGCTTCATAATATGTTAACTTATTGAAAACCTGTAAACAATCACATTAGGCTATCACTAGATTATTAAACACGTCTTTCAGGAAATGATGCAACTGCGCATTTGCATCCACCTTACATATAATACTTTGCTTTGCAGCAGATACTTAGTGATGTTGGAATATTTAATTTTAATCTGACTTTTTCCATTTTCATCTAAATTGAATAATCACAAATAGATTGTGTAGGGCTGTTTAAATGTCCATTGTATGGTAGTTTTGTCAAATGACTTTATTTGTTCAACATTTATATAAATCACATAACATTTTTAGCCAAATCTATAATGATTAATAACTTACACATATATATTAGGACGTTGTTATGCTCGCGAAATGCAGTTCAATACAGCTGAAACCAACAAGCAGCGCAATCAGTTGGGAAAACAGTGAGGTCACAAGTGCAAGGCCCCCAATAAAACAACAGATGACTACAAGGACGCGTTTTAGAGCATTTAAAAAGATGCAAACAGATGTAGCTTAGAGATTTATAAATGATCGAGGGTCTGTTTATTATTTATTGCATGTAATCACATCAGGGTTATAACCATAGCATATAGCAAAAATGCATTGTAGGAGGCTGATCGCCTCTCCTGTGTACACGGGAGTGTTGTGTTTCTGGACCCCGTGCTAGAGGCCCACATACAGCTGATGCTGATCCCTGCGACTTCAACTGTCTGCCTGCAAAATTACAAGCATTCAAAACAACCAAAACGAATCAGGTGATGGACACCTTTAGGCGTGGAGCTATGAGCATCGTTGAACACCTCCATGGTGGGTCCTGGCTGTTTGTTTGAATAACCAACACCGATTAATAGTCAAGTCCAGCCTGTGTGGAAATAAGACACAGCTGCAAACCTTCTAAATAACTTTACACTTGTTGGACTGTGCTTCTGTGTAGTATGGAGTAGTTTGTCACTAACGTTGGTTTCATTAATAATTAAGTCACATAAGATTTAGTAAGTAAACACTAAAGCGCTGCAGACAATGGCATTACACATTTTCACCTGTTATTTATTGTAGATGCTCATTTGTAGATTGTTTTTCACCGTTATATACATTTCCCGAGCACGTGAGCACACTAATGTAAGGGGAATGTGTTTTATATTTGGAAATAAAACTGAAACAAGACATAGATGCATACTATCTTACACCATAGCCTACATGTCACATTGAGAATAGCTTAAGACGACACGTTAAGTCCCATGACTATCTTTCAACGATATGTTTTGAGCAGAATTTGTTTTTGAAAAAGGGTTCACGGATTATTTGCTTTCGATGTGTGGAAGCAGTAACCCTGCATTGGCATAATGATTTATGCTGTTTTAGATGGGCAACAAGGGCGAATGACATTTAAAGTTCTCGACCTGTTTGAAACAACTGTGATTTTGACATGGTTTTATAAGTGAGAACTTAGCTGCTACAATAAAGTTAGTGTAACTTTTCTCCTCTTCAGGCTGTACTTAAAAAATGGCACTTGGAAAAAGGGAGAATTATGACTGTGACCAGCGCTAAACACAGAACAAACACTGACGATATCACATATCATATATTTGCATGTCCCAATAAAAAAAATAATCTAACTAATTCTTATGTTTGACTTGGAGGTTTTGTTGTTTTGAGTGGTTGTGTGTTGAAAGGGGAGGAGGGGGTTGAGGGGTGTGTTTGCGGGGGTGGGGTAGGGTGGTGGTGGTGGTGGTGGTGGTGGTGGTGTGGGGGTGGGGGGGTGCTTCTTTTTGTCCAAATCTGATCCCCAAATTATTCCGGGGGCTCAGATTGGTGTGAAAGGGACGGGAAGGTCACTTGAAATCGCCTTTTATCCGCTGGCTTTTTTTTTTATGGATCAGCAACTTTCAATAGACATAATCTAATCGCTCTTAATGGAAAGGCCATTCGTGAGAAATAGTGGAAATATCGTTGAGCCTATAGGCTACAGCCATTTAAGACCAAGCATAACAGGCAACAAGAGTTCACAAAATAACATTAATTATTAGGCTACTGGAAACTGGAAAGTTCCTCCCCAAAACAGGGAAAGTTTACTTATCAGTTTGAAACCGACAAATGCAGACAGCAATATATATTCAGGGTAGATTTAACTTTTTGTGTACTGTAATTCATCATAATATTGCGTATGCTTATTATTTATTATTTTTTTCTCCAAAATGACTGAGCTTAATTGTAACATTGCATACTCTCCAGTCATCCTAGTTTGAATGTAGATATTATTGTTTATTTCCTCATTATTTTTAATATGGCCTCGCGTCTCCAGAGATTTGAGATCCCTCGGTTTAAGAAGGGATGAATGAAAGTCGCTTTCCAGAGTTTTTGCATCCCAGAATATAATTGGGAAAGTCACTGCCGTTTTTGTTCTCAATTAGGTTTGAGGTTGGAGTTAAGTTGGAGGGACTGCCAGTTTAAGCTATGGGCAATAGCTTTATTGCTCACTAACCATCATTTCTTCAGAGCCTATGTGCTAATTACTTTGGATGGTCCCAGAGACAGAGATTATAAATCCATTAGCACCCAAACCTTCGTGGTTCCACAGTGCAAACACTGTAATTTCGTAGTACACCAAAAACCAAAACTTTAAGCACCAGAAGCAATGAAGGGAAACAGATTTTCAACAACGTGTGTAGTCTACTTCTTAAGGTAGCCTAGCGTATATCAATCAGCAGCAAAGGGAAACACACAGAGTAAACTAAGCATAACAGAAAATTAACTGACAGGGAAAAATGTCTTATCAGGCCGGTGGTTAAGTTTAAAAACGTTTATATTAGGCTACTATGTCAACTTATTGCAGTATTGTAATCATAAATGATCAAAACAACACCGTTTTTATAGCTATTGTGAGTTCTATTTTTATGCAAGTTTGAGAAATCATTTATTCTTATTCCCTGAATGCCCGTGAAGTATCCAGGGAGCGATGCAGCCTTAAGGAAAAAACTGAATTAAAATAAGACTTAATACCTGTTTGACTGCATTTAAAGAAGGCAATGAAAAAACCGGGACCCAAACGGGGGTGCGCGAAGGCATCTCACTCTTAAAGTAATTTATTTCAGGGAAACCGGAGGGCAAAGGTGGAATTCTTGAGAAATTCAACAAGGATAAGGGAGCTTTAGGAATTCTGCACGCAGATTACCTTTCATCCCATCCTCACATTATCCGACAACACACAGTAGAAATATAGCTCAGCGACAAAAGAGCGAGATTACCCTCCGACACAGAGGAGTGCAAAACAATTTTTAAGAAGTATTGCGATTATTAGGGGAGCGAACAAGGAGAGCGAGAGAGAGAGAGAGAGAGAGAGAGAGAGAGAGAGAGAGAGAGAAGAAGGGGGGTCAACATGGTGGAGGAGTGATGTGTGCTTTCAAAGAGCAAAAAAAATGACAAAGCTCACGGATCATTAAGTGTCCTGTCACTGGTGTTGTGGATTGTGGATCCATCTATAAGTTTACCTACCTTTATATGCTGGCCTAAATAAATATATATATATATATATATATATATATATAGTGTGTAAATTTAAATCAAACACATATTAATCTGAGCAAAGATGAAGGAGGATGTGATTGTTTATTGAGACATATAAACAAATTACTTATCTTTCTCTTAAGTACTTAACTATAATAGATTGTTGTTTAGACTGCTGGCTATGATGCCTTGCAATGATTGCTGACACTGGGTCAGAGTTTGACCCCCTTTGTGGTTGAACTTGTTTAACTTTTGTTTTGTAACTAAATGAGTGGCATCACATCAGTACTGCATCCCCCCCCCCCCCCCCCCCCCCCCTTCCCCAAAACCAACACACAGCAGGGTCTTAATTAGAAATGTAGTGTAGCTGAACCATCAGTATGCTGGAGATGAAAATGACTGAGCACACTAGTTCAGTACAGAGAGAACAGAAAATTATTTCCCCACAAACTCTCAGAGGCAGTTTGAGTGAAAAACATTAATTTGTTTATGTTTGGCAACCTTGAAAATATTTTGCGCCACAAAATGCATACATATAGGGACATGAAGCAGTAATCAAAATTCTACTTTCATTTCTACCCTCAGAAATAACTGTGAAATATAATTTATTATAATGCTAAAATATAGCACTGATTAACCAACACAGCAATTGGGTAAAATATCATTTTTTTAAATGTCATACATTTCTAAGTGAAAGCACAGTCAAAAAAAATCTTTAAAGCAAAAGACACCCCTCTCTCACACCCCCACATACGCACAAAACCCCTCTTGAGATTTTCTGTATTTTCATTTGAAAGGTGTGTGTCTGGTGTTTGCATGTGTGGGCACATGTGTGTAAAAAGACAGTGAAGAGAAGGTGGCCTGTGTTTAGTGTCCAGACCTGGCAGATTGTGACCTTATCAATGTGAAACTCTTAAGATAAATTATTCATAGCACCTGTTTGATGTCTCCGGCCAAAGAATGACAAAGGTGTAAGATTTAAGATGCATCTCAAAGCCATGAATATCAGCTACCTGTCTCTTTTTCAGGGCAGAAAAAAAGCGAAATAGGCTGCCCTTTCCTTAAACAAGAAAAATGAACAATTTGTTTCCTAACAGAGGGTGCAGAAGAGAGCAACCAGGGAACATTGACAGTAAGTGTATGCTAATCTAGATTTGCAGATACATTAATAAAGCTCAATAGTAACTCAATCTACCATTTTCAGTGTGAAAAGGTGTGGCTGTCAGCCATTGTCTTAATGTCATGTAACTCACAGGTGTCCTGTGATTATGTCGGTCAGTGAAGCAGGCCACCTGCATTTCCACTGCATGCTGTATCCTCACTTTAATTTGAAACCTGAAGCAGAGTTTGTGTGAGTGATTCAGTGGGGCTAACCTTGCCCTTTCTAACTGAGTTTGTGTTGTGTCTCCTCGCAGGTAGAGAGCGACATGGCGGCCGGGCGTTCGGAAACTCAGTAGGACGTGTCTGTGTGGTGAGAGGACTGACGCTGGGATGAGATGAAATTTATGGCGAGTGCTGTTTGATTATAGGACAGTGACGGTAATACCACTCCTTAGTATGAGTGTTGGGATCACTTGATATGACAGCCCTGCACTGACAAGCTTATTGTACTTAACCATGCATGTGGTAAATATAACATTAACGGCAAATTAATAGTCACTCCCAGAATAGATTTAAAGAGGCTGCACTCTGAATTTTATTGCTCAGTTCACATTTTGTCTTTTCACTAAGTACATTACTGGAGTGTTTATCAAGTACTATTCCAAGCTTTTCTACTCAGAAATGAATCCAAGCATCCGGGAGCCCAAATTCTTTCTCAATGGTTTGTTTTGGAAAAAAACACAGTATGCTTTTTGGGAAACTGGCAGCTGATCTTCTTCATAGCTAGAGGTCAACATAACATTCAGTATTAATAAAACAAATAAGACTAGGATGGATATTAATGGTGATATATACAGACGTACTGCGCATGAGCTTAAATTATGTGTGAACGTGCTGAAGGACAGCAAAGGAGAGATACTCTCACACATGTTTGTGTGTTTACTTGTCTGAGTGTATGTGTGTGTGTGCGTGTAATAGCCAAGTCGGTTTCCCTCAGATGTTCCTTTGACCTTTGACCCCACAGTTGGGGTCAAGCCCTGACAAATGAGATGGTCGAGTTCTGGCCAGAACTGCAAACATTCCACACCAATCTTATGTCCTCCTCCTCCCCTCCCCTCATATCCGTCATTCCTCACCCCTTCACTCCTCTCAGTATGTCTCTTCCACGACTTGGAGAGAGTCAGAGTCATTACAAACAAACATGTTTTATTGTATTTGCTGTGGGAATCTTACAGCACACACCCTTCAAATTAAAGAATTACAACATTGGTTAAATTTAATGTCCCCGACATCTGCCTTGTTCACAGAAGGAAAGAAAACAAAAGAGTGTGATCTTAGAGGAGAAGCTGTGTCAAAGATTTGGCTATTACAAGCCAGCACTTTGAAAGCACACTGTGTGCGTTTGGAAAGCTTGTCAGTGATGTCAAGGATGAGAAATGTTGCAGTGTGGTTTTTTACACACGCTGCTGGCTCTAGCATTTCCGGCAACATTTCTCACTCTGCCTCCCTCACACCATCCACTCTGCTGCAATATCCCCACATTTTTCCATCCTTTCACTCCTTCCCCTACCCTCCCTGTCCATGTTCACCTTCTCTCTGCTCTCTGACCACTCTTGCTCCCTTTACCCTTCCTCTCTGCTGCACCATCCTGCCCAATCTCAGCCTCTCCCTCCCTTCTCTCTCCACCCAGCACATTCGCCCCCTCCCTCCCTTTTTCCTCCACTCACTATTTTCTTCTGATTTTCTAACATGCCGTTCCACAGAATGCTACCACCTGTGTCTTTAAGGGGAAAAGGGGGGGTATTGGTATTCCTCTTCGGAAAGCTGGTTAAGGTAAGTGGCACCCTCTATTACAATGACACGCCAAATAATGCTTCTGCTTGTTGTGTTACTGTAGTCACTTTTTTTCATGGAATGACCCCGGCTTCCTAAGCATCACCACCTTCCATCAGAGCTCTGGCTACAAGTCACTGCTGTAAAAACACACACAGTCACCTCCGATGAATGTCAGCAGAGCAGCCACGGTGCCACAAAAGGAGCCTGGAGACCAACAAAGCCGGCTGATACAGTAACACAGAGTGGATCACACTCTTGAACTTGCTTTCATAATGATGTAATACTACTAAAAGGCAATGCAACACAGAAAAGATCTTAATAAAAACACATCAATCCCAATATGCGTGTATGTGTATTTTTCTCTCTTCACTCCCAGTTGAATTGTGATATCATTTGATGTTGTCTGTTATGTGATTCATCGGAGGGTACAGCTGCTTCACATGGATCTTGGCCTGGGCAGGACTGTTTCCTCACAGAGCCGTTGATCACATGACTCAATCTCACGGCTAGATCTGAGCTCTAATTGGCCGCGCACTGGCGCATCACTGTGGTGAATCTGGGTGCATGTTTACAGCTCTCTGCTTTGAATAGTAAAATGGTGGGTTGTGTTTTGCCTTCCTAGGTAAGAGGGCAGTGAGTTCAGTGTATGTCTGTGGGTGGGGCCTCCTAGAACAAGGGCTGTTGTTATGATGATCTACAATGCAAAATAATATGTCATCACTTGGACAATGCACATAGCTCTGACATTGAAATGAAACAATGCAATGCCACACAGTGAAGCTGTGCAGCAGGAAAGGTAAGAGAGGAATTTCTGGTTTCAGTATGTGCATACATTACTGCAGGGCTCCAGTCTCTTACCGATTCCTCTCTCTTTCTCACTCCACCTCATGGCCCTGTTTCTCCCTCCATTCATTCACATCCAAATTATGTCCACGCATTAATGACCAGTGTGTGCCTGTATGTCCAGTGTAAATAAATAATAAAGCTCTCCTATCCCCCTCTCATAACCATCAGCCATAAACTTGGTGGGGTTTAAGCAGGCAGCAAGCGACATGGAAAATATGTGTAGGCGTATGTGTGTAATCGTGGTCATGTCCATGGTGCAGTTCAGCTGATTGCGTTTATGTCCCTTTCCTCCTCCTCCTGCTCTGTATGTCCACAGGCAGCTCAAGGATGTAAAGGAAGGGCTCAGAGCCACTTGATTCCCTGCCACCACCCACCGTTACCCCCGTGTTACCAGAGCGTGGATGTCTGCCCCTGTCCCCCAGAGCCTTAGTCTCGCTCTCCCCCACCCCTCCTCAACCAACATGCACCCACCAACACCCTCCACCCACCCCGACTCCCAGTCTCTCCACCTCCCTGCCTCGCTCCCTGATTCAGTGTGTAAAAGCGCCCCCTGAATGATGGATTACTGTGTCACCGCAGCCTGCGAAGGATTAATTTGTTTCATTGATTTCTCTTTAGGCAGAATGCCAGCGTCTGCCGCTTCCCACCTTTTCCCCAAGACTCGCAGTTGTAATAGACGGTAATGGCCTAAGACAAATCAACCCATTTCTTGTAAAAATAGCACCAAATAACCCTCCCCACCCTCCAGCCTGCACTCTCCTCAAGAGCACATTGGGGAGCGGTGGTGGTGGGGTATCAGGGGGTGTTCGATTCATCCTCATCCTCTATCACTCTCTCTGGCTATCCTTCCCATACTACCTTCCCTCCTTATCCTGTGCTGAGCCAGAGGAGACCATCCAGTCACTCTAACAAAGCCATAAGTCTGCCATACTTACAGCTCCCTCTCAGGCCTCACAATGGATGGGTAATGACAGCGCTGTCTGGAGGGGGCTGTGGGAGTTGGGCCATTCTCTCCAGTAATGGAAGCAGTTACTGCCATTCCCTATACACCTGGAGGAACAGCTAACTGTTAACCACTGTGATCTATGGCATGGCCTTACCGCACCAGGCTAAGGTTGAAGGGTTGTACTGACAACACTGAATTAGGCCATGTCTGCACAGCACCGTTTTTTCTATCTCTGCTATGTTGCATGAAGGTATTCTAATGTACGTTGAGAGCTATGGAAAAGCATTGGAGTTATTTATAAACAAATCTGTACCAATGAATCAGTGTTGGTGCAGCTCTCAGCACTGCAGACTGACAATCCAGCATTCCTGACATTCACTGATTTAACGCAGACATAAGATGCTGCCACATCTTTACTACCCTGTCACTGCTTTGAACGATGGGAAACCCAAACTGCCTGTAACATTAAGCACACCACTACAGGCTGACTGTCCTCGAAAGCTTTCCAATCCCACAGAGATTTACGAGCAGAACCAGATCCATTAATCCATTGTTGATTTGCTGTGGCTGCCCTGCGGGGTTTTTGGGATCAGATATCATACAACGCTGAAACTCACCCGGTTACGAAGCAGGGTAGACTGTAACACCCTGACCAGTGCTAAAATCACTGCACCAAGCACTAAAAAATTAAATACAAGTTTATGTTTTTAATTTTTTTAATTCATGGCACATTTGGAATTCCTGCATGTCTACCACCAGCCTACTCACACACCACCTGACAGATACATGCACTTTTGACAGAAATTACTGTCACTTATATTAAAAATTACAACATAAACCAGAGTGACAATCCATAGATGGCTCTGTATGAGTGAGTTAGAGCTGGTATGCAATGTGATAATGACCCAGGCTGCAGGGAAATCTCATCAGCTCACTGCAATCAATTTAACAGTGTTTACAAAGCCACGGGCTGGGGTTTGTGCTTGGGGACTGAGTACTGGTCACCTGGCCTCCCACTAGATCCCCCTGTTAAGCTGGCCTCTCCTGGGTAAACCTCCGCAAAGCCTCCTCATGTCTGACACCACCAGGCCCTTCAAATACTGCTCTCAGACAGAGGATTAGGTAATCTCAGCATGATAGTGTCTTTTTCTCTATTTTTATCATTTTTTTCTCCCTCATTGTCACCCTTTCTGTACTCCTGCATTCTCATGCCTTACATTCTGCCCCATCTCTCTCTGGCCTGCTGAAGTGCTTGTTCTACTCAGGGCACATCTATCCCCAGGGGTCCTTACATTCTTAAGTGCCTCCAGAAAAGGTTAGTTGGCAGGTAATTGTCCAGCTGTAGTCAGGCTTATCTTAATTGTGGGTTCTTCAGTGCAAGCTATACTTCCTTTGATGAAGAGACTTACAGTATGTGGAATAAAGGGAGAAGAAAGGAGAGTGGGACAAGAAAAGGATGTACCATTTTAAAGTGTATTTGATATGTTTCCATCAGTTGTTTGTACTTTGCACATTGGCAGTGGAAAATGAACACTGTGTCAGAGTTTCATCTAAAATCTGATCTGAAAATCTAAAACCTATTTGGATATGATATAATAGTATTCTTTTATACACTTTTTTGTGTCTATTATTTTTTCGAAATGTTTTGTCTGTGCATCACTGGATAGTTTCCATTATAAGAAACTCAATGTGTTTTGCCTACTGACCCTACACACGTATAGTGAAAAAAGGAATGCTGACCTCACAATGTTAATACAAATGACTTTACACAAACATCCATGCATACAGTATATATACATATATACACACATATATACATGTATACACACACACACACACACACACACACACATATGTATATATATATATATATATATATATATATATATGTGTGTGTGTGTATATGTATATGTATGTATCTGTGTGTGTATATATATATAGTGTATATGTATATATGTATGTATGTGAGTATATGTATATATATATAGTGTATATGTATATATGTATGTGTGTATATATATATATATATATAGATATATATATAGATATATATACACACACACATACATATATACAAATATATTTATATATACACATACATATGTGTGTGTGAGTGTGTGTGTGTCCATATATATAAATCCATGTCAATAGAAAGCTTTAGGGGGGTTAGTGTTTGCATTGCCCCAGCCAAAGGTCATGACTGACCAATAAAATATTTCCAGAGCACCATCAATAACTCCGACATGCAGACTAATACAGTATGGGATTGTGGTTAGGGGGAGGAAGCTTGCTGTGGTTGCTGCGAGCAGAATAGATGAGCAAGAGGCCAAAAGGTTACTGGACAGACTTCAGCCCCCTGCCCCTGCACCCTCTCATATGTGCATTTGATAGCGACAGGGGCAATTATAAAGGTATACTTCAGACAGGTCAAATGGGAGAGGGCAAAGTGCAGAACCTTTAAAGCACTGGCTGGAGTCAAAGGTTAGGAAGGACATAGGACATCATAAGGTGCCGCTGGGCAAGGGGTAATGGAATCAGTGCTATAAAGACACGGAGTGATGAGGAGGAAAAAAAGCATCATCTCTTTTCTTCATTTATGTGATATTTTCATAGACAGAAAAATATCAGAGCTGCTCATGACCAGACTCTCTAATTATGACATTAAATACTGTTTGGCTTGACTACAGTAACTACTTGGTTGGTGTGTTTGTGTGGTGTGTGTGTTCATATACTGTATGCTGTCCGAGGAACCATCAGGCTTCATGGCTATTAAATATGAATAGCCCAAGGTCAGGGAAGGTTGTGGCATGCATTTAGCACCAGTGACCAATGCGAAATGTAAAGGTCAAAGTGGAATTGCCTGAATCGGAGCAATACGACATTTGCTCGTCCACATTTATGCATCCCATTGGCAGTGATTTATGGTAGGAGATAAGCATACAGATGGGAAGAAAACACTCTCTTTCTCCTATCCCGTCAGACTCTGTAAATACACTACTCACTCATATCAATCACCATGTCACAGTGAATCGCCACTGTATGCTTCCTGCTCAGATTAAAAACTGCCTTTGTCTTGCTCTGCCTTCTCCCTCCAGCTCTGTGGAGCACACTGGCGGTATTGTTGCCATTTCACAAGCTCTATATTAGCATCAAACAGCTATGGTACAAAAGTAGTGAGTAAGTTCAAGTCAGCGGTGTGCTTTAGTTGTGTGCCATTTTCCACGGATAGATTCCATTCTGTATCAATCATACATTACAGAAGGTCCTAAATTGCAAAAACACTGAGGAAAAATGTTTTTTTTTTGTTTTTTTTTTACCTTTCTTATGTCACCAAATGCTTTTTTAATATACTGTTGCCTCACTTTTATTTCTAGGCCTTGTAGAGGCCAATGTGTTATAGTAGCTTCTTTTAATGTGCTTCCATGAATTTAGTTTTTGTATAATAAACACAAAAGACAACCACCCCACCCCCCAAAATACTATATGCTGTTATTTTCATCAGAATTCCAGGGCATTTAAAACAGTTCAGGTTGGAGCAGGTTTTATGCTTATAAAACAAATCACTGCTGATTAGAATCAATTTCCCGTCTGCTGTCCTCTGCAGGATAACATTCCTGTGCTGCAGCCAGACAGGCTGTTCAGCATTTTGCAGGAGCAGCCGCTCTGGGGGGGCCTTGACTGGGCCAGCGATTAACTTTGTATCCCGGCTTTTAGAATTTTGTAGGCCTCTTGAACATGAACATGTTCCCCATGTCCCTTTGGCTTCTTAAATGTGAAAACCAGCCCGTCACTGGTGCACCACAGCCTTTGTGAACTACCCCCAAGTGGTTCAGAATCCAGCCAGAGAAAAGTCCAAAAAGAAAACATGCTTTTGAACTGCCAGCCAAAGCGGAAACATGGTCTAGTAAGCTGCTTTTTAACCTGAACCATAAAGACCAATTTTTCCTTTCCTCCAATAGTAATAAATTAGCTCTTTTCCTGTATTAAACATATTATGTTTTCCATTGTAAGATCAAAGGGTGATAATGCGCGACACCATAGGCACCAGTGTATATTACCTGACATTTTCTGTTTAGTTCTCCATCAGTCTGCATTTCGGCTTGCATGCAGCTTCAATATGACAAAAACCTCTTTAACAGAAAAACTGCAGTAGCCAAAGTATAGAATGTTTCTCATCTGGAAATCATGTAAATTTCATTGAGTCAACTGTAGAGGTCAGCTTTGAGGATCAGATTCTTACCATTTTAATACCAGCAATGGCATTTCTCTACACACCAGCCGTTCCACCAGGTAACCTTCCCGCTCTGTGAGAACAACAGTTCTAAAGCCTGTTTAAATACAGGACAAGTTCCTGACGATCTGTCACATTCATCTCTATTTCCCATTCACCACGGGGCATTTGAACCACATCAGAATCTATTACCACCATGCAGATTCAGCGCCCGCTGACAATACAAATCATGATAAGATGGAGCAGTGACTCCATAAACACCCTCGCTTATATATATTATATATATCACATCATATGAGCTGGGCAGGATAGCACATCCCACTTGTGATCTATGTGATCGTCTATTTATATGGATGGACTAAGGATAGGGATATCATTACATCTCTATCTGTCTTTAACCTGTGTCTGTTACTACGCCATTCAAACAATAGATATAAATAGTTGTGTGTGTTTATCTGTGGGAGCATCCATCACTCAGCAGGATACGTTCCAAATCAGTTGCTTGTGTGGAGAGATTTATTCTGTAATGCATCAAATCAACAGACCTTTACAGTAAAACATTATTTTATCAATAGGCCTGATCAATAGTGCATGCAAGACGCTGTGTAATTATTACAGAGGTCTGTATCAATAAAACTCTCAGGCATGACCTCCTGCCAAAGGCTATGCAGCTGGGAGTCACACAGTCAAAGAAAGGTTTGTGTCGTGGCCCTGAGATGTTTGATTAACTGTACATAAGGTCATGTCTTTGATGTACCATAACTTATCAGGACATCTTGGCTGAGATGAGAGTCAGACAAGGAAAGTTTTAAAAGAAGTGACAATCAACTGCTTAGCAACACATTTAAAGCCAAATGTCTATGATGCATTTTACTGACCAGTTAACACGGCAAGGTCTGTTTAAAAACTGCAGTGGTTTGTGCATAGCGTTTCCTTGCGCCTCTGAAGACATTGGAGCTTATAAATGATAGAGACGCAGATGACTGTCTTTACTGGAGTGAGGATCATTTGTCCTGAAGCAAGGCAATCCAAGAGTGGAAGACTGTCAAAAAGAGCTTTGTATTACACTGTAGTGGGAGCACTCTACATTAACACACACACACACACACACACACACACACACAGCCGCATACACACACATACAGTACACCAGAGAGAGAGAGCGTGAGGCAGGGACCAATGAGGCAGTTTATATCGGGATTTTGTTTCACAGCCACGGCCTCCTGGGAGAGAGGGGTCTGCCAATAACACTTAAGAGACAGAGCAGGAAAAGTAAGTGCTTTTATTACAGCTCATCACTCATGTAATTTCTGGCAGCATTTGTGATTACAGATCAAGTGATTGACTAACTACACATTCGGCGGCTGAGTTATGAACCGGGTGCCTACCATTCCAGCCCCGGCAGATTCTCCGAGTCAGCTGTAACTCATCCTCTCCCAGGGTGCTAAATCAAAGAGCACACTGCAGCCGGAAGAGTTAAATAATAACTTGAGCTTTATTGTAAATCTGTCAGAAATTAAACCTGCATGGACGTCGTCTCGGCCCTGATGTTGTACTGCATGGGGTGAAGAGGCTGGATGGAGGGGATCAATAGAGGGCCAATGGAGGTATTGATGGATGACAGGTGAAGTGGGTGTGTATCTGTGTGTGTGTTTGTGTATGAGTGTGCATATGTGTGTGTAAGGGGTGGGATTGAATCACCCTGGGGTTAGGTAGAGAGCACGGCTCAGGGTGTTTAATCGACAGGTCTCACCTTGAATCGATTGGCAGGAGTCTCGCAGGGCAAAGACGTGATACACACAACCAACACTTACTCACACACACCAAAACAAACCATAGGGAGTGTAAGAGACGATGGGGTGGGATCAGGGCGGATGTCTCAATGCCATCTGGACTGCATGCCTGTATGTAGTCAGTGTTTGGGTTGTGAAAATTTAATCTTCAATTCAGAAGCACTTTTATTAGTTTACTCATCACACTCCTAGAGCAGCAATCCAGTAACCTTTTTAAATACCTTTACTAAGGTTCACAAAACTAACTATTAGCATCTATTTTTACCTTTAAAAACTGGGATCATGGTAATGAATAGCTTTGATGTCCATTTGTATTCTTTGTCCAACTCAAATGACAACTACTGTGATGAAAGCAAAACAGGAGAAAATAACATATACTTTCAGTATATCAACATAACTCTTAAATACAGATAGCAGAGTAATACAGTGTTACACAGTCCCAAGTTATTGACAAAAGGTCCTTTTAGTTAAATGTAAATGTTGATAATGAAAAAAACACTACTTGCCACTTAAAATGAAATCCTGACAAGAGGAATTACCACGTGGTTGTGGTCTGCACTGTGGCAATGAACCAGTTTGTATACAGTACAAGGCTAATCAAGAGCCTCTTTTTAAGGAACAAAAAAGCAACAAAACAAAGCAAAGCCACAAAGCAAATTCAAAGGCAGCTCTCTTTGCAGTTATGATCCTACTTTACTTTGAGAAACCTCCTCAAATAGTATCTGTGCAACAACTACATTTCATCATACTCAAAAGAGCCAACACAGCATGCACATGTGACTTATACTGCAGAGACGGGCAGCCATGAAAACACTCCACCGTGAAATGTCTTACAAGAGGCCAAGATCTGAGAGGGCGTTATGTCTTTAATAAACAACAGAAGGTAAGTATTAAAAATAATGCAGCTCAGTAGTATGTACTGCAAAAAACTCAACCCTCTCAAGTTCTGTTGAAATGTGGTGATTTAAGGACTCTACACATGGCTTTGACTGTAAGACCAAAGTCTAATGCTTTTAGATAAGGTCAAGGTTCATGTGTGTCATTGACTGAGATGGTTTGTAAGAGGAGCATATTTGCCAAATCACAATGTGGGGTAAAGTGGAGTCCATTAATGCTGATCTGGAGTCTGCTTTGGAGAGCTCTTACAGAGCAGAAGAGGCTGTTTGTCAGTCACCTTGGAGCCAAAAGTATTTAGCTTTATTAAGTAGATAATAGAGTGCACATTCTCTGATGACTTTATGGATGAGCTTTGTATTGTCTGGGTGGAGATACGACGAATATTATTCACAACAGATTTCAAATATTTCATTTAACCTGACATAAAAGGGTAAATATACATGTTTCAAACATTAAAACATCACATAACTGGATCTGTGGATTCTTATAGATTCTCCCAAGAAGTGTCAAAGGAAGAAGCCACTCTTCTGTGTATGGGACTGTACCTGAATCGTTCAGAAGAGAAAGGAGTCGGAGAAAGGGGGGTTTCGACTTGTGGCCTCGGGTGAAAGGAAGGGGAGGATGTCTGAACTTGCTGTCCAGGGCTCAGATGGTGAGAAGAATTAAAAATCAAAGACTTGAGGCCAGAGTTAAGAATTCTTGAACGGTGACACAAGGCTACGCTCTGAGCCGCAGGACCTGTACATCCCCCAGGAGGTCTAGGTTTGGGTCTTAGCCTTGGACTCTGCAAAATTCTGCTTTCACTTCCAGATTGTTGGGCCAATTCAGCCAGATGTGTAGATCCCTCCTGAAGAAACAAAGACATATGAAAAAACAAACAAAACAAAAACAACAACAGAAGTGAAAACAGTGTAATTTGTCCCGAGCTGATAGGGAAATTGCATGATGCTATACTATAATACCAAACTTCCACTTTAGAAGAAATCAGGAAAAATCCTAAAGTCCATATCTTGAAATAAAAAATATGAATATGGATGTTTTTTTCCCTTTTGAAGACACATGCGCCATTATCATGGGGAAACACTAGCAACAAGCTGGACTATTTAGTTTAGTTCTTTGTGATAACCACATTAAAGCTCACCTTATGAACCTCAGCTAAAACTCTGCAATGAGCTTGTTGTCCTGTCAGTAGCCGGGGCAAGGTGCCGGCAGTGGGCCTGCATCGCTCTGACTGTGACCTGGGTAAAACATGCACAGTGGTGAAGACTATGTCTCTGCTTCCTCTGCTTTTGCATGGTTCTTTCCACAGCTCCCACGGCCCTGCTGTCTTGCAACCCTCCCTCTCATCCCCCTGGTTGGATTTGATTGATGAGTGGCCATTTCCTCTCCTGTCCATCCCAGCTGCAGACCTCGCTATAGCAAATGCTGAATCGTGTAACGCTCCATCTCCCTCATCTTTGTTTAGTCTTTCGTCATGTCTTTCTTCTTCCTCTGCACTTTCACTCGCTTCATCTTTCTCCTGCTCCTCAGAGCCCTCTGGTCTCCCCATACCTTGAAGCAGCTTGTGTTGAACCTGCCTGGAGGCCTATCAGGAGGATACACAGAATGTGGTTAGTTTGTTACTATTGTGGCACACATACCTTAAATGTACAGTCAAAGCACATAATAGGAAAACAGAAAACATTTCAAAGTAAGTATTTAGATTTATATAAAAGGATATAAACTGCAGCTAGCTGTGTGGTAATGTATGAACTCTAAAATGATTCACTAAAAAATGGGAATCTGAGATCCTTTGCTTTGTTGGCAAACCTCTAATTTACCACATTAAACATTCATGCTCACTGTGACTTAGTCATTGTGTAAATTTCTGGGCAGACAGTGTGACTTACTCAGTGTTGGGCAATGATGCATTACTGAAGTGTTACAGCAATGTGGTTGCTTTTTCAGTAATATGGAGCAAAGGATTACAATTTGAAATTTAGTTACATTACAAACTGTAGGATGTGTGTGTGAGGTGTTAAAACACATCGTCTCATTTTCTACTTACAAATACAAAAGATGCAAAGTATAGTTTTGGACACTTAAAGGGATCATTGACTCAGTTGTGCTGAGAAACAAAAGTAATATAACGAGTAATGTAAATAATTACTATTATTTTGCTCGAGTAATAAGTAATGTAAGTACATTTCTATGAGTAATGTTTAATGGGTAATTGATTGATTAAGTAATTGATGAAACATTTCAAGGAACTTAGCCAAACTCTGTACTTGAAAAGAAATTTGACAATGTTACATTAAATCCACTCCTAAAACTGGGAATTAATTTGGAATTCAGCATGGTGTTTCTGGTTGACATGTATACAGTAGTTACAATGCATGTACATGTGTATCTGCATTTGTATGTGTGTATATGCATGTGCATAATGCATGTGCGTGTGTGGAGGTGAGAGTATTTCCCTGGTAAGTTTGCCTTCATCAGTGCACAGTATAATTCTAATTGGCTTTATTAGGGGGCTTAAATCTAATACCAGCTCTGTGCGCTGCCTAAGGCTCTGTGGGAGTGTGTGTGTGCACCTCTGTTTGATGTTTACGACTCACCAGATCTCTCATAGAATGTTTTCTATGTAACAGACACGAGTAGATGGACTAACATAGCCCTATCACAGTAATAAAATTACATTCCCTCCTCTGCCTCAACCTGGAGCAGAACATTTCTCCAGTCTGAGAGCAGGGCCCCAGTCAATAGGCAAATACAGCATTTATAGGTTCAAGTCCAATGAAGTAGCAGCACTGTAGCACCAGATACGACGATACAGACTCAAGGCAAGAGAAAAGAGAGAAAGATTTGACCCCATTTAAAAACTTGATACCAATTTGAGAGTTCTGGTTGTAAATAATTTAAGAGATCTCTCTTACTGAGCACACACAAATTATTTTAAGGGCACGCTCACATGTATGCAAGACTGTACATGTGCATCGACACAATCTCACACATTAACCTATGAACATATACGCACACTCCTGTGCACACATGGACATGCACACACAGATTCAACCATGCTCTGGAAACAGACTTCTTAATGAAGCCTTTCCCAAGTGAAAGTAGAGCAAAAATACATACTGGCCCATTTCTTCAGTTCACCCTCCTCTCCTCGCGTGCGCTCTCTCTCTCTCTCTCCCCCACACCTTCTGCACATCATTTGTTTTATTCATGTTTCGTTGTCTTTCTCTGTTGTCTCAATGAGTTAAATCACAACCCCTAATTTATGGCTACAGGCAGACACTTCTACAAACAAACTGGCTGATGAGAGGGGATGACTGAAAACATACGCGCCGAGTGGTGTGTGTAAATCTTAAAATGTCTGTTGCTGTCTTTTTATCTATGGTTATTTACATAAGAAATGACAACGTGTGTAAAAGAATGGCTGTGATGCAAAATGAAAAAGGCTGTGCACTGGAGGAGAGGGGAAGTGAGAGAGAGAGCGAGAGAGAGCACGCGCGAGAGAGAGTAAATCCAGTGACAGTGAGTGGGGAGCACTCAGGTGTGGTGAGAGGATTATACAAAACCCTGAGCATGAATGACAGTAAACACCTGAATGACAGAGAGATGGGGAGGGGCAAGAGCTCTGGTGTATGTGTGTGTGCGTGGCTCTGGGTTTAGTGGTCCTCACTGATATCCTGAGAGGTGAGTGAATATGTTCCCCACTTAACGTTTTGAGGGCTGTGCTGTTTACTCAAGTGCAACTTGTTATATTATATCAATTATTATGGATATGTTGATTTACAGCACGTATAAAGAAACTGAAACAATGAATGAAAGAGGATTTGAGAAACAAACAATGGATGCGTGGGAATGAGGATGTCAACAAGGCAGGCAGGGAGTGTGGAAGAGGAAGGCATCAATCAGAAGCAACCCACTGTAAGAGTTAGGGAGCTGTTGAGTTAGCAATTGAGTTACAGATTGAGCTATATAGTATGCAACTAAGTCAATAAAAGGGCTATAGCGCAAGAAAGAGGAGGCATGTTTATCTTACCTGCACTTTGTTTTCCTTCTCTGTACACTCTGTCGGTAGGGGATTGCTGACAGGGTCTCTGAATTGAGATTCAGTTTCTGGGTGAGCACATTCTCTGTTCTTCTCTCTGCTTCCTGAAACACAAACCCACTTCTCAGCACCTTTAATCAACACATAATGTCCTTTTTCATCTTCTTTAATCCAATCTTTTGCTTATGGTTCTTTATTTCATGACTTTTCAGTTGCCATTTCACTGCATCATTAGAAAGAGAGTGTCAATTTCCATTGCTTTGCAACTGAGTAAGCTGAAGGCATGTCAACCTATTTTATGCTTCATTATCAACATGAATTTGCTGATTTTTCTTTACCTGCATGGTAAAGTTGGATAAAAAGTGACTTTTTCAGCAAGCCATTAGCAGGAGTGCCAACGCTTTCACCCCCTCTTGTGGAATGCTCAAATGTGTTTTTAACCTTTGGCTTATGGTTCAATTCAGAAGAGAGCAATGCATGTCGATTCCTAGATCTGCTCTTAGTGAAATCCCTCACCTCTAGAGCTATATCACTGTACAGCGCTGACTCTACATGAAGCGTGACCCCGTTTCCCCCACGGCGACCCCCTCCTTCCGTTCACAGCCTTGGAAGATAGAGGAGCACAGGGGAAAGGCATGCCAAGGCAGTAGACACTTTTAAGCAAAGATTAAAGGTTTTTCTTTTTAATCAGTCATTTGGCAGCTATGTTAGCATTTCACCCTGGTGCGGCTAAGGATCAATTTTTAATGCTGCTGTGCAGAGAGCAGACAGGGTGATTGGCAAGAGAGAAGCTATTTACAAAGGATCTATTTACAAATTTTCCATAGAAATATGCAGAGGGCACAATTGACATCTCTTACAGAATTTTAAATAAGCTCTTTCCCTTTTTTCACTTTGTCACGAGGCACGACCTCTGTGAGCCCCTGATGATCACTGCTCTGTGTATGTGTATGAGTGCATGTGTGTGTGTTCACTCACATGTGTCTCACATGTAAGAATAATGAAGGAATCTACACCTCTCCCTTGTGTTGCATTGTGTTACATTTCTTCAAGTTGTGTTGCCAGGGGCTGGGTAACTAGGTCAATCAACCCTGGTATAAACATATCACTAGAATCCACCAAGAACGTGCTAATGACAATTACTCTTCTTTCAGTTTATACCCATTTACATTATATATTTATATATCCATATATACTGTGTATGGATATAAATGTATTTATTTATTTACACACACACACACACACACACACACACACACACACACACACACACACACACACACACACACACACACACACAAACTCATTGAGGGATTTCAACTTAAGCCTGTGTATATCCTAGGAAAAATGTTAGCTTACATATATATTATCATATATTGGATGAAAATGCTGTATGCCCTCCTCCGTAACAACTACAGCCTACCTCTGCAACAACAAAAGTTAGAAGTAAAAAGTTGAAAGTATTACACAGATTGTTTATTGCTGTTAAATTAAATTGGCTATGTGAAAAGAAAAAAGAATCAAATTAACTTGAACCTACAGTAAATCTCAGTGTGTACTGAATGGTAGCAATCTTTGAGAGCAGGACAAGACCAACTCGACACAATAACACACAAAAGAGGGCAGACAACTAAAATATTCAGACCTGCACAAGTCCATGGATATGTCTTGATATACCCATGAATCAATCCACATATCCATCCATCCATCATCCAACTGTCCATTCATCCGTTATGCAACCATACATTCATTCATGCAGTCAACCAGCCTTCCAGCCGATCAACCCACACACTATTGATCCAATGATTGACCCTGCACTGGGTAGATCAATACTCTCTTGAATGGCATCATTGTAAGTGCTTAGGCACAATGGCCAGGCGTTGTTTGGGCTGTTCATTTCCAAGTAGCAAGGCCGTGCAGGGCTCTAACACGAGTCAACTCTCCTTTCTCCTCCGCTTATATGATCACAGCAAAGAGGGGGCACCGATAAAGGCATTGAGCGGTGAGCATCCTTTACACATGCAACAAAAGGGGCAGTGGTCCATGCAAACCTACTTGCAATGACTCACGACTATTAGATATTTCATATGAAAATGGCTGTGGATACAGCAGGTTTACAGACACATAACTGTACAGCTACACAGGCAAGTAGACAGACGGGAGTAATAGCATACATTAAAACATTTACAGATGAAAGAAGCCTTGTGTGATGGTACAGATCAACATAATGAGGTGCAAACTGAGGGTAAAGTTAAACTAAGCCATGTCCTACAACCCACACATTTTATCTCCATTTCAACCTCAGATAACTCTAATATCATTCTATGTAAGTAATGTAGTATTTTATAAAAATAATCACAGTAGATCACTGTAGTAAAGGTATTACTTGTACAATATTAACCTGGATGAGTAGTATTCAGTAGACTCATGCTCAGTATATCACCGTGTAGCTTATGTGGCTTGGTGTGCATACAGAAACCCTGTTGGGTTAGAGCCTGGGCCGGGTCTTGGCATTAAATGACTGGGACTCTGACAAGTCTTGGAGTTCTGTCACTGCGGTTCACAGGTCTTGTTAGCCAAGGTGTCGGCAGGGGTGGAAATGACTGTGTGTGAGGTGAACATTAGACAGCACTCCTACCTCCACCTCCTCACCTGACACCAGCAATAAAACTAAACAGGCCAAGGTGCTAGGCTGTGTGTGTGAGTCAGTCTGTGTGTGTGTTTGTGTGTGTGGACGTGCACACAGGGAAAAAAGGGGCACGTGTGCTGCAGGGTTGTTGCTGCTGTCACCAATTTGCCGGGGCCTCCAGACGGGAGTAGGAGCAAGGTGACGGAGCTGTGGCTTGATAAACACAGAAGCCCTGCTTCGATTTCCCATCCAGTCCACTTTGGAAACACATGGCTCTTCCTGGGCGCTCTTGGCCCGGGGAAGAAGGAGGAGGAGGGGCAAAACGAGGAGGAAGAAGGATAGCCACTAGAGAGACAAAGTGATGGGTGTGCAGTGAGGGAGAATAACAGTCAGGAGGAAAGTTGAGCGAGGGAGTGATAGGGAGGAGGAAGAGTATGTGGTAGAGATAGGAAGAGGGTAGAATGAGATGAGTAGGGATCAGGTGTATTGGCTTCCAAAGAGGTGACCTTTCATGCTTCCATAGACTGACAATACAGAGAAAAAATTAAAGATGAAAAAAATTAAAAAGAGAGGGGTAGGAGTTTGAGTGATCCTTAAAACTTACACTCAAAATGATTCTTTAAACATGAAAACAGATACATTCACTTTCAACCTCCTCCTCTTAGTACCCCTCTCTCTCAGTCTCCCATTCCCTCCGTCTTTTTCACTTTTGCTGGGAAACAACTTGATGTATTCAGCCTTTCAACCGATATCAGAAGTTTAAAGAGCAGGAGCAGAGGGGCGTCAGTGAGGTAGGTGAAGCACCTAACTCCCCTCTGCCCCCCTAGAGAGTTAAGGAGATCACATTTTAACCCCCCCCCCCACACACACACACCACCAAACCCCACCCTGCTGCTCCTCTCCTCCATGCCTTAATACCAACATAAGAGGACAAGTGTGGGCTCTAAGCACCAGTGATCAAACACGAGCGGCTGCTGGGTGTGCTAGGCTCAGGACGGTTGGCCTAATAGGATTGGAAGCCCCCAGGTGAGCCAAAGGACACCTCCAATCAGCGTGATTAACCAAAGGCTGAGCAGCATTTCTAGCTACAGCACTGACTTATGTACAGTACTAAAAGGATCACAAGGGTTGTGGCGAATGCAAGCAAGTCATGGAGTGCCATGGTTGATGGTGCATGTCAAAGTTTTGTGTGGGATTGATGGAGTTTAAAGTTGCATGCAGTTTTAATGTGTCAGAACAATCATGAGATTTTGACTGTTTGCTAATCATTATTAAGTTCACATAAGCGTATGATGTGTTTTTCTGGCTACTTATAAAAACAGTGTATGTTGTATACCTGTATGCACACAGCCTTACTGCAAGACTACACATGCACTGGCACGTGTAAATGTGAGGATCTGCATGCTCACATAGTAAAATTCTCCCCATCCAAACGTTCGCTCAGACATACATGCACGGAAAAACACACGCATACGAAACATGCCCAAATACACACACAAATACACACAGACAGGCTTTTATAAACTCATCACATCCAAAAAATAATTACCAGAGACTGAGCTCATCACTGACTAAGCAAAAGTCATTCAGCGTGTAAAACACACAATATAATTAGCACACATCAAGCTGGTGTGTCCTACTGTGCATTAATGATACTTCCCTCTGAAGTGAATTATGGTTTGATGAGTGAGAAAGTGAGTGAGGAGGGGCTTTGAGGAGGAGCAAGACATCATTTGGAGAAGGGGAAGAGAAGCCAGTGCGGAGTGGAAAGGGGCGAGTAATAATAATAAACCTATTTTTTTCTGGCTTACATTTGGTGTAATTTCCCCAAAAACAACTATTCACAAAATTGCGGACTTTTAGGGATAGATGATAGATTACTCACTTGTGATGAGGGCCATCATATGCCAGGTACCACAGGCCACATCACACACCTGCATAAAATGAAAAAAGTTTGAAGACTTTAAAGCAGTGCAAATGCACATAGAATGGATCAGCTGATTCCCCATCCATGAAACTGGATTTTTGTACCTCAAATGGTACTGTAATTAAAGAACGAATAAGATATAATGTTAGTAATTGTTTTTCTGTGATAAATCTATCTGAAGGTAGCCTCACAAAGATGCAATATATGTATAAATAATACCTCTTTGATATATTTACTTCCTACTTTACTTAGCATGGGAAATAGCACAGCAACATCCTGCAGTTTTACTTGAGGAGCCTGAAAACATCATTTGTCTAGTCTTTCTGACACACACCTTTCTGCCTGCCAGTGGAACAGGCTGGGGGGTCCAGAGTCTTTTGAGGCCTGGATGATCACTGACCCAGCACACACAGGGGATCTGACCCCAGAGAAGCAGCTCTCCACCTGCTGGAGATATAAACAAAAGCGCAAAATGTTCAGACAGATACATCAGAAATACATTCAATGTCCTTGCCAAATATTTTATGTCAAAACCTTTATCTCAACTAAGGAAAGTAAAATGTTCCATATGAGGACATGCTCTTCAAATGTTTCCGACACTCTCCAATGTATTGCCAGATTAGGATTGTAGGTCCGCGATCATATTTACACTGGACTGTTGAAACAACATGCACATTCTCACACTGGAATAAAACTAATTAGTGCCAGAGGTGTTTCTCCCCGTTCAGTAGCCGCGGGGCCATGAGGAAACCAGACCCTAGTCCACAGATTAGCTTGCTACTAAACCTTACAACTCTGATTTCCTCTATATTCACAAAGAAACACTGACCCCCAATTAGAACTAGTAAAATGGAAGTGAGAATACCATCTGGTCAGTTTAGTTTAGTTTAGAAAAGGAGTTGATGTACAGCACTGTATTGAGATGATAACCCCACCCACATCACACACCCACACCCACACACCTGTCTTACTGGCGTGCCGGGCAGAGGGAGCACATTCTCACTTGGCACTTATCAAAGGCGCACACACATACACACATGCTGTATGTACTCACATAGAGCAAACACTCAAGCATCCACTCACTCATGTTACCTCAGTCTGCCTATTTAAACCTGCCACTAATAAATTTATATTTACTGCCAGCATTGAGGACTTTTAAATTATGGTGTACAATAAACCTGGCACACACATCTCAAAAGCTCTTTCAGAGGATGTTAAAGCAATATAGTAAGCAATTTTCCAAAGTGGATTACAAATTTCACATCCAGGTTTTATTGCACATTACGATAACTTAACCACATCTAAATGTTCCGCATAAATGGGAAATATGTGCTGCTTAATATGCTATTTTTCATTTTTTAAGAAGCGCTTTGCAAACCCTGCCAAGCGAGGGAGCATGCTGGTTTGTGTGGTGGGGGAGTCAATAATCTTTATGAGGTGGATTTTAATTACAAGGAGATAACTGAGTATCCTCCTCACGGCAAGCCTCCATCAATCTCTATTCTGCATCAAGCTGTATGTAGCCTTGGCACGCACACACACACACGCACGCATGGACGCGCGCGCACACACACACACACAAATACCCTTTCAGACATGACTGATCAATCAATCAGTAATGTATTATTTTCATCTCAGTGAAGCAAACCTTATGAAAGCGTGAGGCAGGCGATGCTAGATGGTGTTTTACCCCACACACAAACACATGCGCTTCCACTACTAACATATACATGTACACACACGCGCAGACTGACACACACTGACATACACACAAGCTGGCAGGGTAATCCAGCTAAAAAAGGTTAAGACTGATGTTTTCCCAAAGAATGACGGTCTGTGAAAGGTCAGCTCAATCATGTGCTAAGCATGCCTCGTAAGCAATCCATAAAGACCTTGTTTTAAATAATAACATTTTATAGATCACCTAAAGACATAACTGAACCACCGGCACCAGGCCTCACTCTCCAAATAGTCTTCAACGCGCCAAGAATTCAAATGGGGCCAAACCTAATATGTTGACTGCAGTTCATTTAATGAACCAGTGGCATTTCCAGTGAAACCTCGCGCACAGTGCCAGCAGACGTCTCTGTTCAACAATAGGCCCATTTTTTTAAGGGAATACTGCAGTGCCGCAGTAGGCTGTAAATGTGCCCTGGTCTTGAAACAAGTACAATGTCTTTTTTCTTAAAATGGCTGATGTTACATTTGTAGTGTAACCACTTTAATTCTAGCTTTCTGGCAGAAGGCAAGCAGCAACTGAAGGAGAAGTAGTTGCCTGACACTTTGTAATGGTGTAAATGTATTAGAGCAAGTTTGGTGGCAGTTCACTGACTCTCTATGGAGCAGAGGGGGGATAAATCAGATTGCTGAAAATCATACAATGTAGAGAATAAAGAGAGGGAAAGGTTAAAAAGGTACTATCTGAGACTACCTATTTTTTAATTCTGTCAGCAAAGAGGGTTCTGAGTTTTGTTTTATTAGGAAATACAGGGAAAAAACAAGCTAGTAGAAAAGCTGATGTGAAGAGATGGTGTGGCTCCTTATCTCTCACTCTTATTAATAACAAAGTAGCTACAGGGACAGTCTGAGATCTTAGCAGGGTAGTTTAGGGGATAGCTGCTTGAACAACAAATCAATTCATTATGTACATCATCTATCACATAACACTACTGGGTGCAGTACAGCACAATTTTGCTTGGTTTAAGAGATATTGAGAGCTAATGAGGTTGAATTTGTGCTGCAAGTGATGTCATTTGAGGACACTGAATCCTTGTAGTGTTAATTAAAACTCAATGAAATGATGTAGATGAAAAATTAGCATGGCTGAAAGCCACAGTGAGGGATACTGCTGGGAAAATAAGGTTTTTAAGTTAATAAGTTGTTATTATATTATGTAGAGTGAATACAACTTTTAAGGTTTTTTAAAAGAAATATCACAATGAGCGAAATCTGCCGTGACAATTACCCATTTGGACGTTTGAGTTAAGCTGTGTTATTGAATTGTACTTAACATGTTTAGGCCCAAATAATACAGTTGAGGGGTTGGCTGCTTGGCTCACCTGCGACGGCTGCACTGTAGCTGTCCCCAGCTTGTATCTGTGTGACCTCAGCTAGCTGAGAATAGCTCAGAAGGCAAGGGGTGGAGATCTGAATCCTGTCGTCTCCAAGTCCAAGCTGTCCCTGCAAGCAAAATGATAATACAGTGTCATTCACAGGATTAAATAAAAGTTTAATCCCAGTGATTTCATTGCTCATAGATAGAAGAGTTAAATAAAGATACATGTCTAAGTGGTATTTCAATTTTGGGGAAAAAACAATGTTCTCATTTTGTGGGGCACCAGCCAGTGACTCAGATCTAGTTTATTTTTCATCATCCTAATTCATGGTGCCCTGCCATTCCTGAATGTAAACATGGCTGTTAGATTTGTCAAATAGGTCTTGTATATCACCTCCAGAGTATCATAATTTAAGTGCATCTCTGTAAAGCCGTGTTATTATATCTGCTGTGTAAGGTTATATATGACACTGGCAACTGGCAATTCATCTTGGCTCAAATGGCTGTCACTGAGGAGGAAATACTGCTAAAAAAAGGCAGACCGGGTATTTCTATCACCAGCCAAATGTCTACTGTGTTTCATGTTTCATTTAACGTCATGTACAACTACCTGGCAATGCAATCCCTCATCGACGAGCGTGTCTGTGTGAAAACTCTACTCAAACACAAAGGCTTAATAACCACAGCGTCTCGCGCAGTAATAGAATGTGTTGTCCTCAATTTACATCTCTTTCTCTGTGTTCAGTTTGACTTCTCTCAGCTGTCCTGCTCCTCTCTTTCCTGCTTGCTCCTGCAGAGATAAAGGGCTTTCTGCACTGTGCTCATGTGCACATCGGCATGCCCTGGCATATGTTTGAAAGTGAGCACAATATGTGTGGGTTTACATTTCAGTGTGTGTGTGCGCGGTGCAGTAATCTGGGTCTTTAATTGCTTATTCGTATGTGCACTACTGTGAGGGTTTGTAGATGTGTGGCAACATATGTTCCTGCTGTGAGTGTGTGTGTCTTTGTATTTATAGGTGTGGTTGTATGTGCTTCCATCAGAGTGTGTGTGTGTTTACTTGCATTTAGGTAAAGTAAGTGAGCAGATGTGTCCATACCTGAGTTTGTGCACGTGTTTGTGCGTCTGCATGTGTTTATGTTTGCATGTGTGTATTTTTGTGTGTGTCTGAGTGAATGAGCACTGTCAGGTGCTGCTCCATGCTGTGCCAGCTGCATCTGGAGCCATCTGTGTTGGGGCTCAGTGGGAGCGGAGCGGATGACTTTAATGTACTTGAACCCCAGACAGACCTTTCCCAGACAGTCGTCAGTATGAAACCAAGACAACTGGGCCCAGTCAAGCTGAACTAGCTGATCTGGGTGGTGAGCAGGAGACAGACGCTTTGGTTACACCGTAACCCCCGGTCAGACTCACTGGGGAACCTCTGGCAGTCAGATGCAACCCAAACACTGGAATCTGTTTGTTTCAGTGATAGAATAGTAGTGTTTTTTTATCAGAGGACACCCACCTTTTCTTAGCTGTCAGGTTTCTGTTGCCTACTTTCTACAATGCAATCCAGGTGTATGTTTTTTGATGTGTCTGTGCACCTACATGTTTTTGGGTGTCCAAACATGTATGTGTTATGGCTACCGGCAGCACTTGTAGAAGCAGCAGCTGGCCTTCAAAACTTTTTTATCTGTTTTTTCCGGGTTTATTGCCAAAACATGAGTTACGTCTGACAAATACAGTCATTGGAAGATGAAGACGGGGTTTTTTTGGATTAAAGAGCAGCAGACTACAATCCACCCGGCCCAAACAACTGGACCAGGCACCGCGGTGGGTGCAGTGATAACTCAGAGGAGAGGAAAGGGTGCAGTGATCGCTCAGAGGAGAAGAAAGAGATCCAGGAGTGGAGCCATGCTGGCCGAGCTTGGCCTTAATTCTGTTCCTAAATAGTTGGTCTGGACAAAAGGGGACTCATATTGACCAGACAACAGAATTCAGAGACTGTTGTGCCCGCATCGTTACAGAGACCTGCCCCTTCAACATCCCGGATCAAGCACTTGGCGGGTGGTCCATGTTCCGAGCTGTCAGCGCAAGACTCTGGCAAGATGAGAGGAAATGGACTCTGTGTTTTACATCAATTATGCAAATGTCAGACTGTTAATAGTGAAGATGAAACTTTCATTATCATCTGGTCATTATTATCATCTGGTTGCTGCTGTTTACATTCACCCCACATGCAAATTCAAAAAATGCACTGTGGAATGTTCGGGGTGTATACGTGTATCTATATATATAAATTACTGTATATATTGTTTTATTTTATTTTATTTGTTACCATATTTTAATATAGGCCTACTATAACCTTGTACCTCGTATGTGTGTATGACAAAATCAGAAGACTTGCAACTTGACTAAACCTGTTTCTTTACTTGGACTCAAGCATTTGGACTAAAAAAACTAACAAGAGATGACAGTTTTTTAGGTTAGATTTTGATTTTATGTAGTCAAAACAGACAAAAAAAAGTTTAGGCCAGTTTTCAAATGATTTTAAGTTGAGCAGGACTGTCTGTTTTTGAACTGCGAAAATTATTTAAGGTTTCTAGGATGTATCTGCAGAGAAAGTGGGATGGAGAAAAAGAGAGGTGGGTTGATGAGGGCTAACAGTTTGTATGAAAATGTTTTTTCTAAATCCAGTTCATGTGTGCAAACCATGTGGGTATGAATGACTAATTAAAACATTTCTACCAATTATTCTTGTTAGTAGTTAGATAATGTTTACATTTAGAAATGATTAAGAATGAGATTCATTCTGATAAACGATGCATGGCGACAACTTGAAACCTGAAGTTCAGACTTGGGTTTTGCCGATTTGGGCCTTAAATGTCAAGACTCCTCTGTCACCCTCTTATTCTCAATACATCACAAAATAAAAAACAGCAAGATGTCTATTCAAAATGACAACTGTAATCAGCACTTCACCCACAAAACTGAGTACAGCACAGTATATCAACACACAATCCTCCACCACAAAGAGATCACAGAGGCACAGTAATGATCTTGCAGCAACAATATGATTAGTGAAGCACAAAATCAATTAATGCAGCAGTAGAATCAATAGGTGTCTCTCAGCATATATGTCCTGCAGTTAATTAATAAACAAAAAGTACATTAAGCAGCAGAGCATCAGACTGTGGCAACGACTGTCATCAGTCACAACGTGTGTACTGATGGCATCAGCAGGAAGGGAAACGGAAAACATAGACAGATATAAATGTGAGGATGGTGAAATACCGAACAAACCCACAGGCAAAGATGATTATACTATGTACACATACATCCAAAGCATGAGCTTGCATCGACACAAGCTAATATACAAAATGTACTCATGCATGTGCCCTTACACGCATACACAAACACATTTTCTTCTTTCTCTATTTTTCATGTTCACTTCTTTCACGCAGAAGACCTCTAGATCAATGGCATCAATAAAGCTCATTTACTCTACTGCAGCAGCCCAGACCATATTAGCATCAATTTGGAACAGGCCCAAGATTCGATGAGGCCTGAACTATGTTGGAACCAGGCCCGGGGTTTCCACCACCACCAGGCCGGCTCACTTATCATTTACCATGCCTGATGTGTCACCCTCATCATTACATTGCAGACAGGATTGCAATCGACAGACCGGAAGGCCACACTGATTGTAAGCCATACCTCAGACATACATAAACAGACTATTACTACATAGCGTGTGTGTTTGTGTTTTAGTTTCATGTTATCTGTTGTTGTTACTCTGTGTTGTTGTATAATAACAGCAGATCTGCATTTCTCCTGATTCCCACTGCACTCTACTCTTTTCTGTTGTAGTCAATCAAATACCTTTTCCAGGAAGATTTTTGTTTTATAGTTTTGCAATTAATTGGTAATGCAGATACACTGTAAATCTGTAGCTCTTCTCTGTACTACCATTATCTGCTTTGTATGAGAGAGTAGTTGTTTTTCCTTGTTGTCTACCTCATTATGTAGGCTTCTTAGAACTCGCTTAAGTCTATTGGATGTTATGTCAATTCAGATCTCTGGCCGGTTGCACTCCCTGACAGAATGTTGGCAGACAGATGACCCTGTTATCACACAGTTGACATTAGGAATCGAGACATGACTCCAGACAGCAGATGTATTTGTCTGTAATGGGTTAACGGCATCAGTTACACTGTCTTCCTGGTAAATTCAATAATCCATAATGTGAAGTCATAGTGATAACTATTTAGATATGAACTTTTTCTATTTTACTATTACTCATTAAAAAGTAAAAATAAAAACAATTGTTTACTCCAAAAGCATCCGATATACCATGTTTTGTTCCCCCGCTTGCTTTGACACTTATTTGCTATCGCTGTTATGCTGTTACCATATTGATTCTGGCTGTGGCATGCACTCTCTGACATCATTCAAATTCCTTCTCACCTCAATCATGTGATACAGCGCAGGCCGTCCGTCTTTTAGTCTCAATAGGAGAAAAACAATGAGATTTCTATCTGTAATACTATTACCAGCCGTAATAGAGTTAGAGCTGCCTAGGTTTACCTTGGTAAGGCAACGGAAAACTTTATTAGGTTTAAGACCTTTTGCTTTTCTACTTTTTCTGCTGTTACTGATACACAAGAGCCTTTAAGCCCTAGAGAGAGGAAGGTATCAGCGTAGTGAAAAAGATGGCCCGTCATCTCACTTCTTCTCCAGCGACAAACAAAGTGTTATCTTTCCGGAGGTGGAACCTTTCTTATTTTTTTACGTGTTGACGGGAGTACTTTCGGTGTGGCACTGTGCGGCTGATTACAGGGGGAGTCTTAATCAGGTGGTGCAGTCTGCTCGGGGCCCCTGGGGCCGCGAGTGTGCTACATCCTGTCAGACTGCACAGAGAAACAATCAATCATCAGAACGGCTGCAAGACAGAGGAGAGAGAGAGGGTAGGAAGATAGGAGAGATGGAGGAAGAGGAGGAAGAAAGAACATGATGAGGGGAGAGAGAAAGAGAGACGTGCCCTTGCAGAAAGTAACAGAGTTATATAGACGCGAGAACGCCTATGAAAATCCAATGAGTCTAGTTAGACTAGAAGCCACACTGCAACGTAAGAGTGTACTGTGGAAGCCAAGGCCACGTCAAATCTCATAACAACTGATGTCTAACATTTTGATTGCGCCCCCTGCCTCTCTAACCTTCACCTACATGTTTGTTTCACTGCCCTGGCAAAGCGTCATCCTCACTGTCACGTTGTAAAAGGGATCACATTTTGGCCATGGTTTCAAACAACCTCACAGATAAACACCAAAGCCGGGAGGAAAAAGAATCAGAGAGAGAGGGGAACAGAGGGATTGAGCAGGGCCTAGGTTTTACACTCTCTGGGCTCTGTCTGAGGGCTGTGTAATGATGCGGCTCTTTAAAGAACGTCTTAAATGAAAGGCCAGAACAATCCTCGGTGACAGGTGGGATTCTTTATCTAACAGAGGAGGAGAGACAGGACAGGGCCAACAGACACACACAGCCTCACATGCACATACTTTTGGATATACACATTAAAAGGGGCATGCATGTACATAAACTACAGTAGATTCCACAAAGAGGATTTCCTGCTCTGTCCACATGAAGCAGAGGAGCTGAAATGGACAAACAGCAGAACCCATAAAGGTGATTTGTAGAATTTAAAAAGATGTGTGTTCTTGGCACACCATGAAGGATATTAAGTGCTCTAAGGGAGTGCTCGGACACAGATCCCCCCCAAAACCTTTTAATCTCCACTCTGGAAAAAAAAAAAAAAACATCTTAAAATGTCTCAAAAATGGATAGCATTTGTGTGTGTATGAGAGAGAGAGAGAGAAACAGAATGAGACACAGAGAGAGAACACTTGTGTAATATGAAAAAAGCCTGGAGTCCAGTGTTGTTCTAAGTCTGACTCTCCTGGCAGGGCCAAAAGTGGAAAAATGTTTGGCTCACCTCTTGCCCCATCCCCCAGGAAAAGACATTCCCACCATCTGAAAAAAAAGAAGAAGAAGAGAGTTAACCAATAGTCTGAAAACAATTCAAGAGAGGCAACAAATGGAAGCCTAGGGTTAAAATAGAAAAGAAAACAAAAAAAACTAAAGCGGAGGGAGAGAAGGGAAATGCGCAGCTGACAAAAGTGGCTCAAGCATCATACATCAAGCACTTGTTACCTCTCCCGGTGCTTGTGATTGCACATGACTGCAAACAAGTCAGTGATAAAAATCTGAAGAAAGATGAGACCGATCGGGCTGGCTTTAAAGATCATCAATCACGGCCCTGTAAGCTCAGATATTATTAGTTCAAGTAAAGCTGCACTCTTCCATTTTATGGACATCATAAAAGACTTTGGGGGTGGGGGGATGGAGGTGGAGATCCCCCAGTGTTTTAACTAGGACTGGGATGGATGTGTTTGAAAAAGCAGACCGGATGGATGGACAGCTCTAATGTAGTAGTGCTAAATGAATCACTCACACTGCACCAGGCTCCCCAGGGGCAGGAATGTGGGATGGGAGTGTAAGGCCCCACTTACAAAATGTTAAAGTAAGTTAAAGTGTATGGTGAAAAGGGCTGTGCATGTTTGTGTGGTGTCATGTGTCTGTGTAAGAGAGTGTGAGTATGACCTCTTTAGACATTTGGCAACAGCGTGTCCTTGGGACTCATTATTATATCACAATAATTGAGACATTATGTGTCTGCATTTAGATTTTATATACGTGCACACACATTTCAGTGCACCTATTTGAAAAATTAGTAGAAAGGAGGAAAGGCACATCCCTTGGTGGTGCTGATTTCAGAGATCACAATCATAAATGATGTGTACCTGGAGAGATAAATCAGTTAAGAGGGTGACAACAGGTTTAACTGTCAAATGTGACACTTTTATTAATTTCCCGCACGATTACTCCTTTTACAACGAAGACTATCATAACTTGTTAAAAAATTCATGTGGTCCTGGTTAAGTTGGTAAAAACATTCACGCCCTCAAGACACACAAAAAATCACTATAGCAGCGATAGATCCAAAATCCAGAGCCATGTCACTTCGAACAGGTACATCAGCATCAAGGCTGCAAAGACTTCCAAGACATGGTGTCAACAGGTCAAAAGGTTTTTGCTCCAAAAAATTAAAAATTAAAAGGACCTTATTGGATTAATGAACTTAGAGGTGACCTATTATACTGCACCGTGAATCCTGTATGGTAGCTTTGCATGGTTCAAAGTTCAAAAAAATGTATTTCTATCTCATACTGACACTTATGCAGGACCTCATTTCAGCCTCTGTCTGAAATAAGCTGCAGATGCTCCCGTCTCTTCTTCTTTTTCTGTTATATTTCTGGCAGATCAGAAACTTCACAGTGGATGGAACCACTTTTTCCATGCAAAAAAAGCTTATATTCTGATTAAATGCTTTTGGGCTTGTAAGCACTTAAGTTGGACTCTCAAATCAGAATGATATCTATCGGGTCCATGTATCTGCAGCTATTGACTTAATCTGATTTATAGGAAAGGATCTGACTATTACTTGTTTGTATGCTTTATATACTAACACACCTGTTGACTATTGTATTTTTTTGTGTATCAAGATCCATTATCTGTGCTTGTTGTGTTAGAGTTTTTTAGTCAGCCATTGCACTGAATACTATAATGAGTTCAAAAGCACCACAAATCAGTGGTCTAGGAGTACCTGTGGTCACACTAATCAACTAATTTCATCATTTCTACTCTAAAATATTTGTCAATCCATACTACTACTCCCTGAGCAATCTCTGTGTTTTCTATGTCACTTATTCCTCACAACAGTTTTCTCTCTCTCTCTCTCTCTCTCTCTGCCTGCCAGTGAGGACATAAAGGCTAGTGTGAAGTCCATCACTGCCTGGTGAATAGCTGCCCTTTGTGCCTCAGAACTTAATTCACAGGCTGAAAGGACCCCAGCCCTGCCATAGCACCTCTGTGTGCTGCCTGATTTAAAAGAGCTTGCATGTCCACCGAGGTCTGCCGGAAAGCCTTCTATTAGGTTAAACACACCAGGTCTAGTCAACTTTTGAGAATTAAAAAAATCAGAGTGCTGAACAGTTTCAAAACAGCACTCCACATATTAAATGTAGTTCTGGTAATTCTGGTGCCAACAGTGGCCTCACAGTCAGTCAGTGTTGTCAAGGAAACCTGACAGTTTTTTCATGGTCGCTTTGACCTTATTCAATATATAGACACCCCCCCCCCCCCCCCCATCCATCCATACATTACCACTTCAACATATCCAAAGCAATGTCATTTGGTGTTACAGCATGTGGTAACAGTGTAATTTGGGGGTTGTCCAGTAAGAGAGAACTTTTATTACCATTTCGAGCAACATAACTTTTCTTTTCTCCTACTTTTTTTACATTTGTGAAAATTGATGGTTGCAGTGGGCATAAATAACACACCCACCTCTCTCCCTGTCTTTCTCTCTCCTCTCTCAGAGACCCTTACTGGGCTTGTTAGGCCTGACACTGGCACCCTAGTGAACAAAAGGACTGCACGGCTTAGGGCTGCCCAGGAATGTCAGCGGGTTCACATTTCACATGCAGATGCGTGACCCCAGAGCCCTTTAGTGGGAAGGTGCGCTTTAACCTCACAGAGAACCAAGAGGAGGGGATAAGGGGGGTAAGGGGCACCTTAAGGGGAATCTGGGATGGGGGGAAGGGGAAAAAATAAGAGTTGCCTGAGTTTGCACTGCTTGGATCTGCTCTTACAATGCTATATGTCTCTCTCAGTGTTCTTCTTCTTTCTCCCTTTCCCAAAACACTACTGCACGCTGTTAAACTCCGCTGATATACCTTATAGAATATTATAATTGTCGATATTCTGAAAACTTGTCAGAGCCGTCTCCAGTATGTGTGATCTGTGATGCGCCCCCTCTCTTCCCCCTACTTTGGAACACATGAAAGCATCAACTTTTATAGTGCATATTTAAGATTTCTCCCCAAATAATTGAAAAATCACAATGGGAGGGGTTATGTAAGGCAAAAGTACTGTGAGCTCTGCGAAAGAAACCAAAGCTACTGTCATCTGCTCTCTGTAGGCCCAGGCAGGCACAGTTTCAACTCAAGGGCTTCACACTTCTATAACTTGTTCTCCTTCCCTCGCCGCTCTCCCTATCCTAACTCTCTCTATACCCGTTTGCCTCTCCCTCTCTCCTTTGCTCTCGATAGTGAAAACTTCAAAGACAACAAGATCTTCTGCAAAAGCATGAATCCTCAAGCTCGTTGTTTGTTTTGACCCCTAAGCCCCTTGCAACAATCTTCCACCTCCAACTTCCAAGTCCTGCAAAATACATGAGGAAGAGAGACCAAAACCCGAGCTGCTTTTTTCCCAGCCCACCTGCAGCCCTCATTCTCCCATGTGTAACTTCTGTAAAAAGCAGCTCTGGCATATGGCACTGCATCTACCACAATGACCTCACAAACTGATGAGAAAGTACAATAAGTTTCTTGTGAGGCAGAGGAGTATAAACTTTTCAAATACATTTTATATATTCCACTAAGAAAATGGAAATAAAAATCAATACCTCGCAAACGTGCATGCGCACACACACACACACACACACACACACACACACACACAGTGAACATGCACACACATTAATGCTTCCACACTGACTCATGTAGCTTGGCCTCTGTAGGTGTCTGGGTTGAGGATTGGAGTTCTGATTTCTTTTTGGGCTTCCTCTATCAGCAGGTTTCTGCCTCCAGCCAGGCTCGGATCTGTCATAACAAGGAAATAAAGACAAAAACCTTAACCGATAAAAACTATCATGCTAAAAGTTACCTAAGATGACAATAAAGGAAAACCAAAAGAGGCCACTGAAGTTTTTAGTATCCTCTTGTCATCTTGCAGAACAATTATGCTTGTATCAGTACAATGTGTTTGACCTTGGAAGATGTATCGAGGTGTTAAACATGGCCTGCTAATCCTATACACGATTTCTTCCACTGTGTCTGATCATTACATAAGGAATCAAATCACTTATTATACATTTAACTTCTAACTGAGAATTTTGGTCCAATGCACTGATGGTGTTTAAAAAAATAAAACAAAACATAAAACGATCTCTCAAATTGCATCTATTGTGTTGTTAACCTAACAATAAAACACCATCGCTATCACCCTCATTATTACTGTCAATTTCAGTGCTTATCTAAGTCAGAGATTCTATTCTGCAAAGAGATTAATCTATATCCACGCCAGAGTGCTTAACTGTTTATCTGTGTAGTCTACACTGTGTGCGTGTTAGTGTGTGTGTGCGTGTGCCCTGTGTTTAGCAGTTCTGCCCTCTAATAGTTGAGACATCTATAGCATCCACAGCAAGGCCAGGGGAGCAAGGGAGCAATCCATAGGCCTGCGTAGCCATGGCAACTAAACAAGGAATAGGCTAGATGTCAGGCGAGCATGGCTAAATTACCCATTAGAGAAAGCAGGAAGGGGAGAGAGGGAATACTGGTCAGGGCACGAGAGGCTAATGGGGAGATAAGATGGCCAACATATAGACTACACACACACACACACACACACACAACGATGGGAAAACAGATAGGGGTTGTCTCGTAAAGGTGCCGGCACAAACACAAACTGAAATAGGAAAAAGCTATTAAATGTCTAGTCACAAATAAACACATACAAACACAATGTGCACATGTATTAACACATTCAAACATATGCACATATAGGCAGGTACATGTGCGCACCCATACAAATGCAAAAACATGAGCGAGCACACGCACACGCGCACACACACACACACACACACACACACACACACACACACACACACAAACATACAAAGGACACAAAGGGAAGACAAAATGGTTTTAATAAAGACGCCCTCTTGGAGAGGTTGCTTGTGAATGTGAGGGAGATGTATTTATAGGAATCCTCTTGTGAGATCCTCTGCTCAACCTCACATTTGTGCATGAAAGAGAGAGGGGGGGTGGGGGGGGGTTGTATTATTGTCT